GTGGTAATGCTACATCGTTTTGCTTAATATCACCCGAGCTATTTACTGAATCGCCACTAGCTTTCTTTTTTAAGGCCTCTTTGCTAGGTGATGCATATTCTACACGAATCTTCTTGCCTCCAATCTCCTCTAATTCTTGAAATTTAGAATATGCAGTCAAAGCCAAGGCCCGATCAGGAAAGTCCAAAAAAGCTGAATTTTTCTAATACAAGAAATATATTTAAACGCGTTATTCTATTTTTGCGAGTATAAAAAGTTAAAATTGTATACCAAATGTTGAGTTCTTCCAAGACGGATATCTTGTGGTCCAAAGTTTTTCAAGAATTTGAGTAAATCAGATTCTGGTAAGTTTGGTAAATTTTTTACAATCAAAGTTGTAGTTTCCTAAATTAAACATTACTACTTAGTATCCATTCGAATGTCACTAATCATAATATAAATTCTATCACCTGTGCGAGGAATTGAATGTCCTTTTTATGAACTGACAAAGAAGGAGACGGATTCATTTTAAAAGTTAAAAATCGTAAATGTCAGTATTGCGTACGTACCGGTACTTCATGTAATCACTGAATCGTCATGTTACACAAGACCTGAGTCGACTCAATGGAATTATGCTTAAAATTTTTTTACACAAAACGATTGACAAATATGTGGTAGTTCTTAGGCTCGGAGCTTTGGTTTTGGAACCTAGTTTTTAAAGAAAATTTTAACTTATATATGATCATCTACCGTTTGCCACTGCCTACAGTATCACCAATTGCCATACCTAAGATCTGCCTATAGATCCCCTATTTAAACTCCGATTAACTTTACGCTATCGGATATTTTCCCCAAAGAGTAACTGCCGCTAAAGCCACTTAAAATTACTTTATCTTTGTGGTAAACCTACCAGTATAGTCTATGTCCCACATATATATCACCTAGATTTTCGGTAACTTACACCTAGTCCACGGACAAGTATTTGTAGCCTTTTACCTCCGCTACCATTACCTACTCTGTGCCCTTGCAAAGTTC